ATGTGTCAGGCACTGTTCCAGGCTCTGGAAACAGAACTGTGGAAGTAAGTCTCTCCTCTTGACAGGACTTAAGAGCCGTAAGGTCTCTGCTCTCTGTCAAGAATTTATGTTCTTACCTCCCTTTACTGGGCCATATGTTGGTGGTGGTGCTCGTATGTGGTGACCTGTACTGACACTAAGATTCTCTGCCTTTCACAGACGAGGATCCCTCACTGTCCTTCAGATAAACCGGCTGCACCCATCAAGCCTGCACACACCCATCAGCTTTCTGTGGGCTCAGATGTTCCAACTCGTTATGATTCCACTTAACCATCCTTATAGCTGGTGTTCAAGGGTCCAGCAGAGACCTTTGAAATGCCTTGAGGTCCATCTCGGGCTTCATTACTCTCCTATGACTCCTATTCTGTACTCCTGTGTTTTGTTTCCTTGTCCCACTATGGGCAAGATGGATGGATGGAGTCACGTACTTCCTGTCATTGTTAGCACTCCCTTCTGCCCTAAGCACTGGGACAGAGCGTTTCCTTCTGTCCTCCCTAGTTCTCCTCGCTCTGCTCACATGTCCTCAGGCTGCCACTCCTGCTATCTGCCCTTGGCTGGGTGCCCTTCCCACCCTCCTCAGGGATGACCTGAAATCTGAGCTCCCTTCAGCTGCTGCCAGCAGCCACCAGGCTCCCTAGCTTCCTTAGTGCCTTGGAAGGATCATTTGTGATTAGATAGCTGGGATTTCATTGCTGACAGTCTCCTAATCCCCCTGATTCATTTTTCCTGTTAGCATTTCAGTTCATGGGCTCCCAGTATCTTTTTCTTGGAGGTTTTTGAAATGTTCCCTTATGAAGCTGGGCGCACTAGCCCACAGTCAGCCTTACTTTCTCTGCTGCTCACCTATTCTCCAAGGACTCGCTATTCCACATGCAGTTCTGCACCACTACACAGAAATCATCCCCCAATTACATATGCCACCACCTTGGAGGTGAAATGCAAGGTTACAAATCAAGTTCAGAATTTACCTGATGCTCTGCTTTTACCAGAACCCAATTTTCAGTATGTGTTCTGTGAGGAGAATTCCTTCTCTCTTATCTTATCCTTGGCCCAGCCTGAGCACCTCTTCAGGCAGACCCCGTTCTCCCCACAGGATGGGATCTCTCATCTACCATCGCACCACGTCTCCTCCATCCCTCCTCCAAGGATTCCAGCATGTACCCAACTCAGGATCACGGTCCCTACCCAGGACTTGGCGGCACACTGAGCTGGTCTTGCTTTCTTGCTAATATAGGGCAGTTTTCCTGAACAAAGAACAGACTCTCCTCTTTTCCTTGACTCACATTTGGCTCCCGAGTCTAGGAGGGGCCTTGTCACAGCCCATTGTCTAGGTAGCCAACACTCATGGAGCTTAGGGTAGACATATCATGGGCTAGTGGGACTCTGTTTGAGAAGAGAGTGACCAGGAAACCCTTAGCCTAACCCTCAATGTCTTCTTATTGGGAACCTCAAACTGGCGCCACCTTTAGATATCTGAGCCACTTCTTGCAGTCCTGGGGGGTCATCTCAGTATTGGTTCCCTTGTCATCAGATGGACCTCAGCAGCACTCAGTTGAAGCACTTCCTTATCCACATCCACGGGGATGCGTAGTGTGGGATGAGGATTGGGGAAAAGAGTTTACAGTTGCAGCCATGCAACTTAGAGACTTATTCTTTAGAGTCGCAGAACAGCTGACCTCAATAAAGACAGCGCCCCACAGGAGGGATCCCTGGTGCCACTTTAGTCCTGGCTGGCAATCTGTCCAAGCCCTGGGCTCAGTGTCTGCATCTTTCCTTGTGAGTTTCTCTCTTACTTCTGCCCTGTTCCCAGACCTATCTGATAGAATTTCCAGACAGAGNGGCTTGGGAAGAGACTGTGCTTGAGCTCCTTAACCTTGTGGGCTGTGTATCTACACCCTCACCTACTTTGGTTTTGTCATAGCTGGACAACTCCTTTTTACCAACTTATAGCCTATGACACAGTTGCCCCATTTCTGCGCACAGGGAGTGGCAATTCGAGGCCCCTCCTTATTCCTTTTCTTGGTCTCCAGGGACTCTGCCTCTGTTTCTGATTCTGCATATCTGACCATACTTTACACATGTTCCCAAGGGTCTCATGACAGGGACTTGGGCCACCTCCTCCTTTGGGACACATCTGCTCCTCTGACCCCGTCTTATAGACATACCCTTTAGGAAGTAGCTAAGGACTGTCTGGAGAGAAAAAAAAAGTTGCTGACTGTCATTTTTTGTCTCCTCCTGCCCCATCTGCTTCCGAGAGGTGGCCCATTGATAGGCATTCCCCATCAGCCCTGCCGCCTCTTCACCAAGCCCACTCTGCCCTCTTCCCCACACCTGGCTTTGCTCTTTGTTCCCCCATGGAGAGGCAGAGAAAACATGGTTCTGAGCATGGATACTGGGTCAGAGAGATAGGGTTGGAATCCCAGCTCTGCCACTTATTGGCTGGGTTACTAAAGCTCTCTTAGTCTCGGTGTCTTTAGCTGTGAAATGGGAATAATTGTAGGACCTGTGTGAGGATTTTATTATTCAATGACTGCATTAGCCCGTCAATCAATGCTGACTTACAAGCTTCCTCTCTCCTTGTGTCTGTCTGTCTCCTCTCAGGAGGGGTGCTGTCATCCTGGTCTCCTCCGTTACAGCTTATATACCACTTGTGGTGAGTGTTTGCCTGTGTGTCCTGGTTGGGAAGGGGTGTGGTGGTTCCCAGAGCCTGGGGCAGACCCCCCTCTTACTCTTGCTGCCCTGGGCTGACCTGGGGTCCATGTGGCTACTGGGTCCCTCACACCCAGTTTCTGTTCTCAGACCAGGCTAAGGGTGTGTCTGAGCTCTGGGCTTGGGCCAGGTGTGATCCTCTGCAGGTGAGAAATCCAGCTGATGCTTTCTTTCACATCCATATCCTCCTAATCACTCTTAATTCTGTGCCAGGAGCTGGGTGCCTACAATGTCAGTAAGACAGCCCTGCTTGGCCTCACCAGGACACTGGCATTGGAACTGGCCCCCAAGGGCATCCGGGTGAACTGCCTGGTTCCTGGATTAATTGAAACTGACTTCAGCAAAGTGGTGAGCATTGGGGCATGTTCCCTGTTCCCTATTCTGGCTCCATGGAGAAGCATCCTAAAGACTATGGGAGAAAGGGCATAAGCACCCTTATAGTTGCAGTCCTCACTGTCCTCTGAACTCAGCCATGACCCAATCCATCAACACTGAGAAGGGCAGAGCTGCCATATGTGTTCTGTCAGGTCACTTCATTGGGGTCCTCCCACCTTTTTGTCTTAGCAACACTGACTCTTTCATCTCTTCCTTTTTCTTAGTTGCATAAGGATGAGGCTTCCTGGAACAAAATAAAAGAAAATCATCAGCTGCAGAGGCAAGTGGGGTTTGGTGCTTTGATGATCTGGGTACAGTTATAGAGGGTTGACTGAATTTAACCCAGGAGCAGACCTCTTCCTGTGTATTGGCCGTTCCTTCCTCTGAATTCTGGGTTCCACACAGCCCTGGAGGGTGCAAGTAGTCCTGCTGTATCCACCCTGTGCCCTCCTGGAGCCCAGTCCCACCTGTGTGGCCTGTTAGCCCCAGAGCAGCAGATCCAGAATCTGAGATCGCTGACGCTGTGTTCTGTGCTCCTTCCAAACAGGATCGGGCAGCCAGGCGACTGTGCAGGTCTCGTGTCCTTCTTGTGCTCTCCAGATGCCAGCTACATCACCGGCGAGAACATCGTGGTGGCTGGCTTCTCCCCTCGGCTCTGATGGGGCTCAAGGTCTACAGAGCTGTGGGTATGGGCCTAGGAGCTGCGGGTGGGTGGGCTAGGGAGGTCATTGAGGTCTGGGGACAGAATTCAAAGCTCTTCCAATCTAGCAATACGGAGGTTCTCTCATACCAGGTTTGAGGGAGAGCTCCAATAGTCTTCGGCTTGGGACCCTAAGTGTGACTGTAGTAGATTGGTCTGCTCTGATCCAACCAACATAGGGTTCTTGGTTTTGGGCAGTGGAGCTGAAGGAGTTCATAGGGCTGGTGCTTTGGAGGAACCATAAAGNAGAAGACCTTCCTCCCCTGAGGTCCTCAGCACAGAAAGCCTGCCAGTGGCCTATCCAGGGCACTTAACTTCACCAAGAGTTAGGTTCTCACAGAACCTTGTGACTGGTCATTCCTGATTGAGACATTATTTAATCTGCAAGCTTTGCCTCAATGCCCATGCACCTGGGCTGTCTGCCAGGCCATCTCCACACTCACCCAGTCCTTCATGTCTCCCCTCCCCACAGGCCCTGGAGCACAGTGGAGGTGTGGACTTCCTGGTGTGTAATGCTGCCGTTAACCCCTTGGTGGGGAGCACCTTGGGGACCAGTGAGCAGGTGTGGGACAAGGTGAGAGGCTGCTGGGAGCTGGCTGAGGGGCTGATGTGCTGACTCTGCACTGGGCTCCAGCAGGACGAGTCCCTCTGAGCCTCTCCCCACCCCTCCTCTCCCCATGTTATTGGAAATACATGCACTGTGCCTGATGCTACTTTCTGTTTTGTGTGATTTTAAAGCTAGTTCCTCACTCTTCTTGCATTATTTTCTCTTCTCATCCTTTTTGCATTTATTCAGCAAATACGTATTGAGGGCTTGCTATGTGCCAGGCACTGTTCCAGGCTCTGGAAACAGAACTGTGGAAGTAAGTCTCTCTCCTCTTGACAGGACTCAAGAGTTGTAAGGTCTCTGCTCTCTGTCAAGAATTTATGTTCTTACCTCACTTTATGGGGTCATATGTTGGTGGTAGTGCTCGTTTGTGGGGACCCGTACCCTCTGCTAAGATTTTCTGCCTTTCACAGACAAGGGTCCCTCACTGTCCTTCAGATAAACCGGCTGCACCCATCAAGCCTGCACCCACCCATCAGCTTTCTGTGGGCTCAGATGTTCCAACTCGTTATGACTGTACTTAGCCATCCTTATAGCTGGTGTTCAAGGGTCCAGCAGAGACCTTTGAAATGCCTTGAGGTCCATCTCGGGCTTCATTACTCTCTTATGACTCCTATTCTGTACTCCTGTGTTTTGTTTCCTTGTCCCACTATGGGCAAGATGGATGGATGGAGTCTCGGACTTCCTGTTATTGTTAGCACTCCCTTCTGCCCCAAGCACTGGGACAGAGCATTTCCTTCTGTCCTCCCTAGTTCTCCTCGCTCTGCTCACATGTCCTCAGGCTGCCACTCCTGCTATCTGCCCTTGGCTGGGTGCCCTTCCCACCCTCCTCAGGGATGACCTGAAATCTGAGCTCCCTTCAGCTGCTGCCAGCAGCCACCAGGCTCTTAAGTTTCCTTAGTGCCTTGGAAGGATCATTTGTGATTAGATAGCTGGGATTTCATTGCTGACAATCTCCGAAGCTTCCTGATTCATTTTCCCTGTTAGCGTTTCAGTTCATGGGATCCCAGTATCTTTTTCTTGGAGGTTTTTGAAATCTTCCCTCCTGAAACAAGGCTCACTTTGTCTCCTGCTCACCTATCCTCCAAGGACTTGCTATTCCACATGCAGTTCTGCACCATTACACAGAAATCATCCCCCAATTACATATGTCACCACCTTGGAGGTGAAATGCAAGGTTACAAATCAAGTTCAGAATTTACTCCATGCTCTGCTTTTACCCGAACCCAATTTTCAGGTGGTGTCTGTGAGGGGAATGCCTTCTCTCTTATCTTATAATTGGGCCAGCCTGAGCACCTCTTCAGGCAGACACCATTCTCCCCACAGGATGGGATCTCTCATCTACCATCCCACCACGTCTCCTACATCCCTCCTCCCAGGATTCCAGCATGTACCCGACTCAGGATCACGGTCTCTACCCAGGACTTGGCGACACACTCAGCTGGTCTTGCTTTCTTGCTAATATAGGGCAGTTTTCCTGAACAAAGAACAGACTCTCCTCTTTTCCTTGACTCAGATTTGACTCCCAAGTCTAGGAGGGGCCTTGGCACAGCCCATTGTCTAGGGAGCCAACACTCATGGAGATTAGGGTAAACATCTCATGGGCTAGTGGGGCTCTGTTTGAGAAGAGAGTGACCAGGAAACCCTTAGCCTAACCCTCAATGTCTTCTTATTGGGGACCTCAAGCTGGCGCCACCTTTAGATATCTGAGCCACTTCTTGCAGTCCTGGGGGGTCATCTCAGTACTGGTTCCCTGTCATTAGATGGACCTCTGCAGCACTCAGTTGAAGCACTTCCTTGTCCACATCCACGGGGATGCATAGTGTGGGATGAGGATTGGGGAAGAGTTGACAGTTGCAGCCATGCAACTTAGAGACTTATTCTTTAGAGACGCAGAATAGCTGACCTCACTAAAGACAGCGCCCCACAGGAGGGATCCCTGGTACCACTTTAGTCCTGGCTGGCAATCTGTCGAATCCCTGGGCTCAGTGTCTGCATCTTTCCTTGTGAGTTCCTCTCTTACTTCTGCCCTGTTCCCAGACCTATCTGATAGAATTTCCAGACAGAGGGTTGGGGACCCTGATGCCTGATCCCAGTTCCATGTTTTAGTCACAGACAGGATCAGCATGGGCACCTAGCTCCCAGAATGGCAGCTCTCTGTGTGACTCCCTCTTCATGTTGGTCCTTGGAAAGCTCAGAGCCAAGTCTGCATAAGCTGGCATGTATGTTGGCCCTGACAGCATGTATTTTTGTGAGTGTAGAATAGAATAATGCTCAGTCCTTACCACGTGCTGTGATTTGTGGGCACCAGCTGTACTCTAGCTTTTTCTTATTTTTTACACTTATTTTTCCTAGTCTCCATTGCTTCATGCATAATGCCTATTTGATTTGCTTTATGTTGTTACAACCTGAGTATGCCTTACATTCTATTGGGAAAAGGCAAGGGCATAAACACAGAGAGGCAAAGATGACTCTTCCAGAAATCTCCCTTGCTCTCAGCACCTAGTACTTTCCCTCCTTATGTTCTGCGATCCTTTTCCAGTGTCCTCTGCTTATAGCTTCTATTTGCCAGTCCAGTTTCTTCAAAAGGCTTGAACAAATTCTTCCTTCACTCCTGTCCCAAGCAGTTCACATGTTCAGGGCTCTGCTCACAGGCCTGTCCCTTAGCCTGCCTGCCTACTAAACCATTAGAAATCAGAAATGCCCAGGTCAGAAACGGGATTAGTGTCTCAAATCTGCACACATCTGGGTTTGCTGCACAAATTGTAAGGACTTCAGGGACTTATGAAAATAGGCCTGGACTGACCGTGTCTGTCTCCATCCTCTACCTGCTCTGATTTCAGATCCTGAGCGTGAATGTGAAGGCTCCAGCTCTGCTGCTGAGCCAGCTGCTGCCCCACATGGAGAAGAGAGGGTAGGCTACAGGGCAGAGTGGGGACTGGTGGGAGTTGGGGAGACTGAGGCAGGATTTGAGGCTGGAGTGCATGGGGCACAGCCGGGAGCAGGCGAGGACAGAAAGGTCT